ATTAATAGATTAATTGGTGCAGCCCTAGTTACAATAACACATAAATATTTGGTCTGAATCCTAGCTTTGTCATTTTAATGAGAATTTTTTTAATGTCCTTATAAAGAGGAAACCTCAAATTACATTTGAATATTGAGATTTCCCATCTGAAAAGAAACAAAACTTTGCTAGCTCACAAGGGAAATCTCAAAAATTTAAGGCGTTTTTCCGCAAAATCAGGTTTTTTGTTGCTACTGCTCAAAAAAATGCTTCAAAATTTAGTTTTATGATTATATTTCAGACAGTTCATTCCAATGATACATTGATAAGGCTTTTATTCGTTATATTTTGACAAAATGCAATTTTAGTTAAGATTTTAGTCAAAACACTATATTTGCCTATTTCTCCATACACAACTTTTGGACTTAATCCTCGTTTCGATGTGATGGGTCTCAAATATGGATTTTCCTTTATGTAAAATGAAACTATTATTTCATTTGGAAACATCGTGGGGGCTAAAGTTGTGCTTTAAAGTATTTACCCAAATAATAAAACTTGTTGAGGAATTTATTCAATTCAATTCCTAAAATTTTTTTTTATTTAGATATTTAATTGGAAGTTTTTGTATTTCAAAAGCCCATTTTAAAGGATTTTTTTTTACCACCCAATTTGTTAAACATAGTGTTGGGAATACAAACCATATCTCATCACTGTTTCCTTAGAAGGATTGAAGCCATTTGATTTTCAACTCTCCATCACTTCAAAGTCAGTTGCTTTTATACCCCCGTCTTCATAACTTTTGAGTAGACCATTCTTTCTAACACAGTGGTTCTGATTTTTCCAAATAAAATAAAAACTCTGTCTCTTTAAGAACCTCCTACCGTTTCTGACACTCCCATTTTAGCACATCTTCACAGCAATGCTTCGGGGGAGAGGTGTTCGGTGGGGCAGGATCTCGACTGCAGACTGAGCTCCAGGGAGGAGCTTTGTACAAATAGGCGGAGCTTTGTATCAGCAAGCGTTTTGGCAGCTCCACATGACTACCACAGGAGATTCAAGGATTTCTCAAACACGCATGAATGAGGCAAAATAATACTTAGGTTCTGTTTTTAATGAGGGAATGACATTACAACATGATATAAAGCTCAAAAATGTTGATTCTGAATAATAATTCCTCCCCACCCACCCCCTTGAATTCAGCATCAATCTTTGACTAATTGCATTGTTATGTTGCTAAAAAGAATTACACAGTACACTAGACACTTTTGCTGCATGGGAAAAAAAAAAAAAACAGGACTGTATTTGTGATTTGAAAAATTTACCTCATTGAGTTAACTGACCAGCATTACTGTCTGTCTCTTTATAGGAACGGAGCCATAAATCGTACAGGCCCCTCACAGTGCTGACATTTCGACTGAACTTCCTCTTCAGTGAACTCAGCGCAGCTTCGTATCATCTGCTAAATGTTGTTTTACACGCTGTGGTGTGTGTGCTTTTCCTCCGGGTTTGCCGACTGTTCTTGGACAAGACTTCCAGCTTGGTGGCAGCGTTCCTGTTTGCTGTGCACCCCATCCACACAGAGGCTGTAAGTGTGCATTTGATGGGTTAAGAAATGTTGTGTAACATGTCCACTGAAAGCTGCTGCAGAAAATAAGCTGTGATCGCCGAAAACTGGAATTTTCTGAATACTGACATACCAGTTTGAATAGCCTGAACATGTTTGTAACGTTATGTCGTGCCTGCCAGTGAACTGTTTCACAGGGGACGCTTCCTTGCAGCACCGCTATGTGCATTATCAAGCTAATGTTATTGTTGGAGCAGCCTCAACAACTGATCACAGGTGTCAATTCCGCTGCTAATATTGACTGATGTTAAAAAAAAACCTGTTTTAGTCATCGCTGAGTGTAGTATACACCTCTTCAGTGACGTGCACGGATAGATTTCATACGCAACATAAATGTTTGGACATTAATGTGCTTTGCTGTGAAAAGCCTGGGGACATCCAGGGGAAGCAGTTTGCACTGGGGTGGATTTGACAGGTGCACGGAGGTTGAGTTGTCCTGTTAAGCTGTATTAAATAACACAAAACAATAGACCTGATAATGGTCTTTGCTCAGCCCTACTCCTTCATGACCGTACCAAACTACTGTCTACAACCAGGCAAAGAGGAGGGAAATGGTGACACAGACAGAGGTACAGTAAAATAACAAAGTCAAGAAATAGTTTCTGTGTTGCAGAAAGAGAATAACTTCACCTGACTGTGGTTTGTTTATCAATAAGCAGCGTTTGTACTTTTTAATATCAGCTGAGCTGTGATGAAAAGAAAATAGTTAAATACCATGATACTGGTATAATTGTTGAAAATACGGTGATATAAAATTTGAGTCATACCGCCAAGCACTAGTCTGACGTGAAGGGTACCGTCCCCATGGGTGTGACCAGGAAGTTAGGTTTTATGTACATGTGACTTTACGGGGGTGATCATTATTATTCTTTTTAGAGCAGCCTGAACTACAGCTGCTCCTGAGAGGATTTGCTGTTGTTTTGCTTCTGATAAGATCCAAGGCCTCAAACACACAGGCCCTGCCTGGCTGTGAGCTGGAATGGAGTTTAGATTCTTGAATAAAGCTTTTTAGAATATGTAGGAATTACTTCATGAAATTAGGACCAGCCTATTTTTCATAAATGTAATCCAGCAAGACCTTGCAAAAAATGAAATCAGTAAACAATGAAATACCCCTCTGGTCATGAATGTGAAAAGAACTTGTGACCTGAACAGATTTCTCAAAAATAAAGTAATTTATTTTAGATATATGAACAGAATAAACATACAAACNGATTAAATGAGATAATATATATATAGGACTTTGTCCTATTCACTTAAAGAAAATAAAAACACTTTAAAATGATTTTCTCCTTATAAGTGTAAAAATTAAAATCAAAGACAAAGAAAAAACAATAGAAAAGTTTTTTTTCACCAGGGTTACCTCTACAAATAGAATCAGCTTGTTTTCTACAAACTTATCCTGACTTCCAATTCTGATCATGGTTTTATTTTTATTTTATTTTTTTTCTTTACAAGATCTTGATAAAATTTGGGAGATGTTGAGATCTTGTCCTATCTGACCTACATTAGCTAAGACTCCAATAGCCCCATATGCGTCTTCATTACCTTCACTCAAAACAGCTTCTACGCACAACGGTCTCTGGATCACTTCTACATGTGTAAAACATCTGCAGTACAATTTCCCAGTGAAATGAATACATACAATCCCCTCCAAAATTATTGAAACATCAAGTCAAAGACATTTGGGTTTAAAAATCACAAGATGAGCATGAGACAAGAGTTTCAAATGTCAGCTTTTATTTCCTGGTAATTACAGGTAGATGTGTTAAACATTGTAGGATATATCGCTGTTTGGAATACACTACAGCAGTCGTTCCCAAACTTTTTGTCTTCTGACCCACAAAATATTCATGGCAAAAACTTGTGACCCCAAATATTACTGGTCTGAGTACATGAACTTCGTTGATCATCCTAAAAACACAGGCTTTTTGACAATCTAAACAGCTTATACACAAATATAAATACTTATTTATACTTATTTTGTGTTTTTGTAATAATTATAGGAAAAATATTACATCAGCAATTATTTTATTACCCTTTAAATTGATTTCTGGAGATTATCCAAGGTGCTTCATGACCCATAATTGGGTCCCAAGCCCAACTTTTGGAACCAAAGTGCAGTGGTTCCCAAACCTTTCAGCTTTTGACCCACAAAACAACAGTAGCAGAGACCTGTGCTCCCAACTATTTTTGGATGGTAAACATTTGCATCAGGTCAACAAAACAAGGGCATAGTAACAATATTTTTATACTACATTTATCCATTTTAAATGTACTAACCTCACTCCTTTGTAACAAGTAAGGCAAAAATCTAATTAATTCAGAAATCTTTTCAGGACCCCACCTTGATGTTTCGGGACCCCACTCTGGGTCCTGACCCCAACTTTGGGAAACACTGCACTACAGCATTTTTAGGTGAGCAAAAGTAAAGGAACAAATCTTAAAGTAAATAACGTAATATTTGGTTGCATAATCCCTTGCTTGGAATGACTGCCTCAAGCCTGTGACATCGACATCATCAAACTGTTGCACTCTTCATTTGTGATGCTGTTCCAGGATTTTACTGCAGCTTCTGTTTTTGTTTGTTTGTTTGGGTG